GCATTCCTGTAAACAGTAGGGAGCCTGAGGAGGTGAGATATGCCAGGGCGAGTACGTGGTAAGTAGAAGATAAGGAGGGTCTTGGTGGGGTCTCAGGGCAGGGAGACTCACCCTGTCCTTCTTAGGTTGCTACGTGTGTGGGAAGGAATGGGTACCCCATTCCTCAAGTCGTTTGGTACAAGAATGGCCAGCCCCTGAAGGAGGAGAAGAACCGTGAGTAGCCCTCTCAGCCCTCAAAAGCCATGCTTATGGCATCACACATAGACCACCTAACATTTTATTTTACTTTCTTTTTAAGTACACAAGTGTTGCTTGAAAATATTATTCATACGAATTTAAATTATACAGAAAATCTAGAAGGAAGATTTCCTTCCTGCCCCAGACCCTCTCCCAAAAGTAAGCTCTATTAATATGTGTTCTTTTAAGCCTATTTCTATGTACTTACACATGTTAATAAATCTAGGAATATACAAGCTTTTGTTTTGTATTACCTAAATCAGTGGTTCTCAACCAGGGATGATTTTACTCCCCCTCCAGGACATTTGTCAATGTTTGGAAATATTTTTGGTTGTCACGAATGGAGGGGTGCTACTGGCATCTAGTGAGTAGGGGCCGGGGATGGTGCTAAACATTCTACAGTGCACAGCGCAGCCCCACAACAAAGAATCATCTGGCCCAAAACATCAGTAGTGCTGAGGTTGAGAAACTCTAACCTAAATAGTATTGTGTGGTATACATTGTTATACAGTTTTATTTTCTTTTGACAATGAGTCTTGGAAATCTTTCCAGGTTAGTCTATTTAGATCTACCTGACTATTTAGCCTACTGCCCAGGATTCCATAGGATGTATATAATGTAGTTTAGTTAACCATTCATTAAGTGGATGTCTAGAATGTTTCCTCATTTCTTTTTTCCATCATTGGAGCACTATTTCCACACATGCTTGTATGTGTACCCCTGTGTAAGTGTTTGTCCAGGGTAGAAAATGAGCAGTGAAACTTCTGGGTTGAAGGGTCTCAACTTGCCATTTGTACCTTGCCCTCAGCAGGTGGTAGGGTCTCTTAGGTTCCCCCCTGCCAACCCCTGAGGAGACTGTGAGTGGGTTGGAGGCAGAGCTGAGGCCTGGCCCTTCTCCCCTTCCTCCTTGCTCAGGGGTTCACATTCAGTCATCCCAGATCGTAGAGTCAAGTGGTTTGTACACCTTACGGAGTGTTCTGAAGGCACAGCTGCTTAAGGAGGACAAGGATGCCCAGTTTTACTGTGAGCTTAACTATCGGCTGCCCAGTGGGAACCACATGAAGGAATCAAGGGAAGTCACTGTCCCTGTTTTCTGTGAGTACTAACCATTGCATGGGGGCTGAGCCTGGGGGAGACACCTGCTAGCCACTCCTTGCCCAGGTTGGGCAGTGCGGGCTGAGAGCTAGCCCCTTTGCTGTACAGACCCAGCGGAGAAAGTGTGGTTGGAAGTGGAGCCTGTAGGAATGCTGAAGGAAGGGGACCGTGTGGAAATCAGGTGTCTGGCTGATGGCAACCCCCCACCCCACTTCAGCATCAGCAAGCAGGTGTGGAGGGCCTGAGGCCTGGTGCAGACAGGGAGGTAGGAGGGGCTGGAGGTGCATTCTGCTTACCCTTTCATCCTCTCCCAGAATCTCAGCACCAAGGAGATGGAGGAGGAGACAACCGATGACAATGGGGTCCTGGTCTTGGCGCGGGCCCAGAAGGAACACAGTGGGCTTTACGAATGTCAGGGCCTGGACTTGGAAACCATGGCATCACTACTGAGTGGTCAACAGGAGCTGCTGGTGAACTGTGAGAGATTGGGGCCCAGTTCAGGGGACCAGGCTGGGGCAAGAGGGAATCTGCCCTGTCCTGCCCCAAGCAGGCTGACATTGTTGCTGTCCCCAGATGTGTCTGATGTCCGGGTGAGCCCCGCAGCCCCTGAGAGTGAGGAGGGCAGCAGCCTTACCCTGACCTGTGAGGCAGAGAGTAACCAGGCCCTTGAGTTCCAGTGGCTGAGAGAAAAGGTATCCAGGTGGCCCCGGGACTATGGGGTAGGTGGAGCTGGGAATGACCTCTGACATGTCTCTCACCCCAGACAGGCCAGGTGCTGGAAAAGGGGCCTGTGCTCCAATTACACAACCTGAAACGGGAAGCAGGGGGAGGCTACCGCTGCATGGCATCTGTGCCCAGTGTACCCGGCCTAAACCGCACACAGCTGGTGAACGTGGCCATTTTTGGTGAGGCCCTCTTGGCAGAAATCAGGTGGCCCCTTGAAGCCACCCCAAGCTGTGTGGTTTCAAGCACTTTGAGGACAAAAAGCCACCCACTGCCCTGGGTGCTCTGTTGGGTACGGGAGGTTGGCTAGCTGAGTTTACTGCCTCACCCTACCCTCTGCCTTTCCAGGGCCCCCATGGATGGCATTAAAGGAGAGGAAGATGTGGGTACAGGAGAATGTGGTGTTGAATCTGTCTTGTGAAGCATCAGGACATCCTCGGCCCACCATTTCCTGGAATGTTGAGGGCTTGGTGAGCTGGCACATCTCAACTTCTTGTGCTCTTATTAATCCCTGCCCAGGCTTTGCTGCCATGACTGGACATCCTCCCCACCCACTGAGCTGTGCCTCCTTCCTTGTAGACAAGTGAACAAGACCAAGATCCACAGAGTGTCCTGAGCATCCTGAATGTCCTTGTGACTCCAGAGCTGTTGGAGACAGGTGCTGAATGTGTGGCCTCCAATTCCCTGGGCAAAAACACTACCATCATTTTGCTGGAGCTAGGTAAGGGTCTTGTCCTGCAGAGTATGGCAGGAGCACACCCAAGCATAGACATCAGCTTGTGTTCTTCCTAACTCCTGTCCCAATCCATTTAACTGCTCTCCCAACAGACTCCAATAGTACCACTGGCCTCAGCATCTCCACTGTCAGTCCTCATGCCAGAGCCAACAGTACTTCCACAGGTAAGCCAGGTCTGGCCCAAGAACAGGGCTATACCAGGGCATCTTCATTCTGCCCTTACCATCCCTGGGAATTCCTGCCAGGAAAAGTGAGCATGGCTCATCTTCTGTCAGCCCTAGGTTGGGTGGGCAGTGATGGAAATGTGGCAGCTTGGGGCAGAGAGTGACTACGAGTGTCTTTGTGGGACAGAGAAAAAACTGCCAGAGCCTGAAAGTAAAGGTGTGGTCATCGTTGCTGTGACTGTGTGCGTCCTAGTCCTGGCTGTGCTGGGTGCTGTCCTCTATTTCTTCTACAAGAAGGGCAAGCTGCCATGTGGGCGGTCAGGAAAACAAGAGATGTAAGCACAGTTCCTAGCACCCTGCCCACACCCCATCTCATGCTACCCAGCTTGCTGCCTCCTGGGGATGTTCCCCTGCCTGCCCCAGTGCCCCTTAGGAGTGGGAGTGGGACACTGGATCTGAGCGCTCTCTGCTTTACTGCCCCACTACCTAGCTTCCATCACCCACACCTCCGTTTCATTCATTACCTGTTTCCCTCCCCTGCGCTGGCCCCAGAACACCGAAGAGCTCATCACCTGGTCCAAGTCCTTCCCAACAGCCCGTCCTTCCCTTGACCCTGAGTTGCCAACCTCTTGCCTCCCTCCCTCCTCCTAGCACGCTGCCCCCGTCTCGTAAGAGTGAATTTGTAGTTGAAGTTAAGTCAGATAAGCTCCCAGAAGAGATGGGCCTCCTACAGGGCAGCAACGGTGACAAGAGGGCTCCAGGAGACCAGGTAGGAGGCAGTTCCTATGGCCAGTGCCTGACACAGCCTCAGGGATTGGGAGCAACAGGGACTAATGGTTCTCATTCCCCTGAACACTAACACCTTCTGTCTTTCATTCTGTGTTGGAGGTTGGGAGCAGACCCTATCTCACCCTCATAACACTACTCACAGGGCCAGGCAAGTGGCTGAGGGACCCTGGAGAGGGTAGCTACCAAGACTGAGAGCAAGGACCCTGTCCCATCCCATCACCCTTTCCTGAACAGTCCTTGTGGCTCAGGTCATGAGGTGCAAAGTGTGGCCCAGTCTGACTTGGGGGCTAGATTCTCCCTCCCTGCCCTGTCATACCCACCCTTGCCTCTTCCCTTCAGGCTGCTGCACCTAGTTCATCAGCTTTTGCTTCAGTTTCTTCTCACTTCTAGTGCTCACACCCTGAACTCTGGTCACTGTCTTCACATTCCCCTCTTACTTATCCTCTTCCTCTATTTTTAGGGAGAGAAATATATCGATCTGAGGCACTAGATACTGAATCACACTGAACTCTCCTCCCTGTCTGGACATGTCCCCTGCTCACCCTCGTCTCCAGCATTCAGGATGGTCACTATGGCCTCTAAAGTGGATGACAGAGAAACCCCTGCTCCAGCTCACCTGCAGATCCCATTTCAGAAGGCCAATGGGCTAGGACCAGAACCATCCTGAGAACCTGACTTGGCCCTGGAGGCCCCCTCCTCAGGGACCAGTCTACCACTATCTCAATTTGTTGAGTGATACTCATCCCAAGGAGGAGACCTCAATATTCCAGTAATGGGTAGGAGTTTCTTGTAGACTGTTTCCCTTTACACGTTATGGATGTAAATACTCGTCTTCTACCAGCAGCTATTGAATTAGGTAGCCTATTTATCTTGAGCTGATTTCCTGCCCCAAAGGCTGGCTTTGTAATTCTGTTGTGTCATTAAAGTAAGGATGCACTGAGCCCAGGCCCCCCTCCACTGGTAAAATATGTTGTTCGCAATGGTTCTGGAGAGTACTCCAGCAGTTATCTGGAACAACTGCCTGCCTGCCTCTGGAGTCCCTTTTGTGACACTCCTGCCTGCCTGCCTCTGGAGTCCCTTTTGTGACACTTCTTTCTCTGGGCAGCAGCCAGGAACTGGTGTCATTCCTTAAAAGATTTGCTGGGTGTTATCTCATTGTCCCTGCAGTGTGGAAGCTGTGCACTGTTTTCCAGAGTTAAGGCCATTGAAACTGAGCTATATTTGTTTGGCTCCCACAGCCCTCTCAAGGGATGATTTAAGACTGAAAGGTGAGAGTAGGGGACAGAGATGAGTTCCAGATGGTCCTTTATGGGGATTAAGGTTATACTAGCACCAAACTCCTACAAACTGAGCAGATGGGCCTAGAACCCAAAAGAAGGGCTCTAATGGAAAGATGGTACTTTAGGGACGAGAAATGGGGGCCTGGCTAGATTTTGAGGTGTGTGTGTGTGCACGCATACATCTGTATGTATATATGTTTTGTTGTGTGTAAATTTGCAAATTGTTTCCTTTATATATGTATATATGTGAAAAATAAAGCTTAATTGTCCCAGAAATCTTATACTGCTTTTTATCTATCACGGAGCCACGGAGCAACCTGAGGCCTCCGGAATTGGAACTGTACCAAAAGGAACACAAAACCCTTTGCAGGTGGCAGCAGAGACCAGAGGTTACCTTTGCTTCTGTGCAAATGGCTCAAGCTCTGCCACACAGGGTAATCGTCCTCTTGCTCAGCAGCAGAGCTGCCCTGCTCTAGGCAGCCTGCAGGGCCTGGCAGGTTCTCGGCAAGAAGCTTTTGCTCTTTTTCTATGCTTTCCTGTCACTTAAACTTGCCCTTGAGGTAGCAGTACAGACTTGCTATGATAAGTGGGCCTACAGCTGCCCAACGTTTCACTCCGTCCCATGAGCGAACAAGAACTCAAGACTGCTACAACAAAAGAAACTTTATTTAAAAATATTTTTTACAGACAGGGGTGCTTAAAAAAGCTCTTTAGTTAACTGTGTATGGAAATGAAAAAATTAATAAATAACATTAGTATAACAGACCTCTAAACATTAACACATTGGCAAAACAAAATGGTCTTAAAATGAAAATGAATCTTAAAGCTCTGCTCTTCTCTGTAAGAATATTTACCTTCTGTTTTTCTTATTCTTTACATGTGAGTGATTAAATACTACTAATATAAAAATTTTTTATATTAATAACATTTTAAAATAGTCCACAAAAATCTCATCTAAGTTTTCATGTTTTAACACTGATATACAAATTAGGACTCATTCTGGAGAAAGCATCAAGTTCTCTTCAGCCCCACCCACATCAAGAATGTTAAAATCCCAAATAAGGAGGACTTTAAAAAGAATTGTTTCTATCTCCAAATTCTTTATTAGTTAAAGGCAGGGAAGAACTGAGAAAAGGGAAAGAAAGAAGTAAAATGTAATTATACAGGAAACATTTTTTTTTCTTTTTTTTCCTGACACCTAATGGCCATAATACCGAGGATAGGCTTCTGGTACATTGTTCTTGCTGCCTTTCCGAGGGGAAAACTGGACCCTGAAAAGGGCGCTAGCTGCTTAATGCTTTGGGTCTGAAGTCTTCAGATGAAGGGAGAGGAAGGTGATCTAGGCCAGTTCAGGATCCAGCAAATGGAAAGGACAAAAGCAAACAACCTCCCCTTCTCAGGAGAGTCCATTCTACACTTTTCCATGGAGTGGGGTCTTTAATAGGACTAGGAGGCTGGGACACTTGAAATGGTCCACAGCATACCTGGAAATCACGGAACATTCTGTTTCTTCTTGCTGGAGACAGCATTCAACCTGGTTCTTGTTGGAACCAACCAAATGATCCCAGAGGACAATGTTTATTTCTTCCAACTAAGCATCATGGCAGGGAAAAGGGACTACTGACACACTGCATGTATATGTCATCTCTTCAGCCACACAGAACACTCTTCCCTTCCCCTAGACTGTAGAGACCAGTGACACTCAAGGTAGAGGAAAGCTAAGACTCTGGTATTTCCATATTAAGTCCTAAAATGCAGCCTGGGATACAGTGCTGCCTTAGAAAGGCACAAAATGTTTGGCTTTTATTCAGTGTGCTAAAAATTGTCTTGTTTTGAATAAAGGAAAAAGATATATAAGGTTAACAATCCCAAGTTACCACAGCCAAAAAGCAGATGTAGGAGGTACTTCATAGCTGCCATGCCCAAACATATGTTACAGCAGGAGGTCAAGACCAAGACACTAAAATCATGCTGAGAAGAGTAGGTCAGGAGGCATCTACTCTCACGGGCACTGGGCCTGCAGCTTACTCACCCAGATAGCAAAAGGATGTCAAAGAAGAGAAAACATGCAGTCTACAGACTCGTAGGTAGCTTTCTGCCCCTTCAGTTTCCAACAGCCACAAGCATGGCTACCCTCACCCATCTTAACAGGGTCAGAGGTGGGAAGGGAGGAGGGAACTGACACACAGGGTACCTTAACACATATGTTTAAGTGCTGGGCTTGGGCACACAGTATACCCCACTGCGGGGCCTGAGCATGGAGGCAGTACAAGGCCTGAGGGGTTACACATAGCAGATATTGGGAAATCCTCCTTTTGGCATCCCAATCTGGATCAGGGGTAGAAGAACTTGTGAGAGGTAATGTCTTCAAGGCGCCTCCCACATTCATTTTTGAGACTGAATCAAGAATATGACACTGTAAATCAGAACTCTGATTTGCTTGGCTATCAAATCAACGAGATCTGTGGTTGGCTTTCAGCCTTTACTGTGTCAAAGAGAGGGAGCGGTAAGCCACATTTTTCTCGAGCACTATACAAGGAAAAGGGCAGTGAACTCTCCAAACAGCTGTTAGTCTGTTGCCAGCAGCAGTGCTTCCCATTTAACAATGAATGAGCCTGCACGCCATGCTTGCTCATCCCTCTTTTCCCACCTCTTACTCTTTTGCTACTTTCTGGAACCAAGAAACACAGTGCTCCCCCACCCCCTTTGAAACCAATGAGATTTCCTAGGATGCTGTGGAGGCACATGGCATTGCCATCCCTCTGCTCCTTAATTCTGGAGCCTAGAACTAGAATATCAAATGCAAAGTCGGACAACCTACCCTTCATCATGTGCCTCAATGTATATCTTTGGATTATCAGATTACTTTTGTGTTTATCAAATGGCTCCAGTAGTTTTAAAAAGTTTAAGTAATTATGAAATGCCTTAATAACACAGGACAGGCTCTAGGGTGAGATAAATAAGATAAAAAGATTCAGGCAAGCAGAGGCAAAATTTTTAAAAATAAAAAATAAAGGTTTGATACAGGACTACAAAGAAGACAACTGGACCAGGAAGACAAAGATATCTTGTCTAAAGAGTTCTCAGTAAAAACTCCATTCTAAACTGAATCTATATCTAATTTATCTTCTGGCAACTCTCCCAACTATTACATATTCTTACTGGCTACAGCAACGTAGTTTCTGAGGCACCTGGGATGGCTGGTTTAAGACTACTATTGAGGAGTCCTCTTCATACAGGAAAGACCAAATCAAACAGTGAAGAGGAGGGTACACAAGGACACAGGCCATGGGCCCACAGAATAAATACATTTTTAGTACTGAACCCTAAAGAGAGCCCAGAAGTCCACTGTGATCTGTGATCTGCTCTCTAAATCATATGAAAGAAGGCTAAAAACCCTGAGTTTGAATGAGGGCTAAGAAATGTCACTTAAGAATAGACTAGCTTCGAAACAGGAAAAACTGGTCCTACAAAGGAGATAATAAATCTTGGACACCAAGACTCATAAAAGGAAGAAAAATAGGAAATAAACAAAGACAAAAACCTGAATTTAAACCTAAGAATTTCCTTGATATCCCAGACATGGTCCCACGGCTGCCTTTTCACTCTTGAAAAAAGCAGTATGATAGCAGTTTACTATTATTTTTAGGGTGTCTATCCCATCTATACCCTCTTCTCTAAGAACTCCCTTTCATCTCCCCTCTGAAGGAGTAAGCTGCTGTTGCATACTCCTGTGTGGCAAGGATAACTAGTTACCAGTAGATAACCAATAAATGTGCTGGAATGATTATATTCTTTCTTTCTTAAGAATATGAACTAAGAGGTACTAGGAATCTGATAATGGTGATCCCTAGAGTTGGAAGGTCAAGTAGACTTGAGGACCGGGGTATCTATTTTGGGACCATGCATGCCAATAAATGGACTGAGAAGCAGGAAAAAGGACTAGATACAAAGTTTTACAGTTCCAGCTCCCTGCAAGAATCAACTTATTTCTTATCCTGTGTTCTGTGAAATACTCTGCATCCTTATGATTCTTTCCTTTCTTTAGCTTGAATACTTTTGTTTCTTACATACAAAGGATTCCCAAACAGGATAGTCAAAGATATAACCCTGATCTTCTTCCAGTATGTACCCACCTCCATACGTTAAATGGCTATATGCATTTCCAAAGAAAGACTGCTAATGTAGATTGAGATCAAAGTAGTGATAGTAATGCTTTATGCTGAGTTAGAACACTGTAGGTGGAATTTCTAAAGCCTGAAAGTGTAAGAGAATAATGATGTGTTGATTTTGATACTTTTAGGTCTCTAAGCTCTCTAAGCTCCCCACCTCAAGAGATAACTGAGTTCAGTCTGTTTTACTGCTTGACTCTGAAAGACCAAATAAATGATTGAAGATCAGGACCCAAAGACAAGTGTGCATTCCTTCCCCACACCTTCAACCATTCTACTTCAACCATTCTAAGACACAGGATTAGGATGGTTGCTGAAGGACTGGAAAACAAGTTCCAACAGAATGGGAGATGGTGACAGGTCTCATAAGGGTGATAAGGAAACTCCCCAATGTGGGGCACATGGGGATCAGGGACATAAGCAGCTCAATAAAAAGGATCAAGAAAGGCACCAGATTGGAAAGGGAATTGGGGGCAAATGCTTCACTTAAAACATTTAGCTACCCTATTGTGCAACTCTGAGCCAACATACCCCTCAACTCATCGAACAGGTTCCACTGAAATACATTAAAATGGTGGGTGTCCATGAGACTTACACCAACGAACCTCCCAGACATTAGCAAAGCTATAGGGAGAAAACAGGGAGCAACAGGAAAGTCTGGAACTGATTTTAACCAGGATAGCTCTATAAGGAAATAAATGCAAGTACAATCTCCCAACGTTGGTAAATCACCATGTAGTGATGGCAGGGAAGAACATAAAGCTGACACTTTTGGCACATGATAACCACTCATAAACATTTACTGAATGAAAAAAAACAACCAAAAAAAACCTGATAAAAAGCCAGGTCAATGGTCAGAATACCGTTATTCCACGGGCAGTGGTCACTGCAGAGTCAGAAAAGCCAACAGTAAGGAGGGGGACTTACAGTTTGGGAAGAAAGTCTATCACCCTCTGACTTTCATGATGTGAGGTAGGAGAAGATTCTGCATTAACACCATTGCTGATCACCCACAAAAAGGGCTATATATCTTTAGTGCATATTTGAAAGTTGCCAAGAGAGTATATCTTAAAAAGTTCTCATCATAAGGAAAAAAAATTTTTTGGAACTATGTATGGTGATGGATGCTTACTAGACTTATTGTGGTGATCATTTTGCAGGGTATGCAAATATCGAATCATTACTTCGTACACCTGAAACTAATACAATGTTAAATATCAATTATATCTCAATAAAAAAGAAAAAAAGGTCTAGATCTTGTTATTAGTACCCTAAAGGGAGCATAGAGCTGGGTCCCTACTTTGAAAGCAAATTTACAAAAATTCATTATGGTCCATTTGGACTATAAAATATATTTTACTTTTATGTAGAAGAAATAAATACTTCAAGTATGAAGAACAGTGACCCCCACAAAAATGTTATTTCTTAATCCACAAAACAGCAAAATGATATCAATAGTACTATCCCACATCCTGGGCCCTGGTGTTGAGAGTTTGTATAAGAAAAGAGAATAAAAGAATGGCAGAAGATCTGGAGTGGGACTAGGGTAGAAAGGGCCATCCACAGGTATAGATCACTACCTTACATAAATAGTAACAGATAAATGCTGAGATGATCAATTGTCCAATCTATTGTTCACCTAAAGGGAGGTATATCATAGGGCCCAAAGGTTTTTTCCACTTTGAGAATCCTTTAGTGGTAAATGCATTGCAAAGCAGCCACCCAGTAATGTGGCAGGCTATGTAAAGCAACCCAGGAGGACATAGAGTAAACGGGGAACTGAGTTGAATGGAATAGCCTAATGCATTTAAGAAAAAGGAAAACATCAAAGTGGTTTTTACCTTATCCACCTGATAGTTAACAGAGGAGGAACCACTTATAATTAGGAGGGAGGAAAGGGATGGGTTTGCCCAAAACTCAAAATAAACCCTGCTGTGAAAGAGCAATTTTAGTTCACTTCAGAGCAGAGCCAAAGAATTAAAAATTGCATTACAAATGGAGGATGAAGAAGGAGATATTAGTGCCTTTAGCCAAAGAAAAAATTTAAGAAATTAAAGTTTTAGAAATAACCTCAAAACAAGAGCCATGTGAAAACTTTCCTGAGGCTCACCTGGCAAGCTCAGTCAGGCGTGGACCCAGGTGTACCCTCAGAACACCCAAAGAGAATAACCCTCACAGAATGGTCTTAAACCTTGAATGCCTACAGATACACAGCTGACCAGCTAATGAATAAACCAATCAATGGTGCACATGTTCAACACAGGGATCTGGTACTTCAGTTCAGGAAGTACCCAACAGGCCACACGAGTACTCCATTAGGAAAAGAAAGGATGTACTTGCCCTTAGCTTATATAAGTGAGCACATTCTCCAAAGAACAAGTTTTGAATGCATCTTGAAAATGCAAAAGATATGCAGAACCAGTGCTTTATTCTCTTGGTAGATCTTCAGACTATGGGCAATATCAGACAAGGAAAATTTCCAGTGTGGATAGGCATTGGACCTGCTGCCATTTTTTCTAGTTCTTTTGTTTAGGCCTTTGGTATCTACATAAAATGCAAAACTGAATGTTACCACAAACAAAACACTACACTGGCTTTTAGAAGGAAATGCTAAGTTACTGTTTCTTACTTACTGCCATTCTCCTCTACCCCTCTCCATACCAATTCAGGACCTCCCATACCTGAAGGTGGGCTGTCTTGTTTTCCACAGAGGAGACACTGGGTAACTATGGCAAATCAACAAGAAGTCCTGTATTGTCTACTATAAAAACATAAATGGCTGAGACTAGAGGATAAAACCAAAATATCTATGAGTAACTGAAAGCCAAGAAAAGAGTTAGAAAAAGTTTTAGTTACAAAGAAAAGAGAGGGAAAAAATCTGCTTTATGAACCTGCAATTACACAAACTGCCTGGCTGTTCACATATTGTCTTTGACTACAGTAGTCATTTATTACACTAAATGATGTCTTCTTCAGACAATGCAGTTATTGAAGAGTATATAGGATCTAGGGAAAAAGGAAAGGGGAAGGATATGCTACATTCCCAAAGCCATAGGCACAAGAGAAAACCAAGTTGTCAGGTGACATCAATGTAGGATTGGTGCTTGTTATCAGCAAAATGCTGTGCTACCATGGGTTGGTACCCTCAATCCTTAAAGGGCAAAAAAAATTTTTTTTTCTGAAAGTATAACCTGGATCACGTTCAAAGGGAGGAGACACTCATACAAGCTGGAATTAATGAACTGGGAAGAAAAACTGAACAGATATATCCTACTGTCTATTTTGTGCATTTTATGGACAACAAGGTAAAAAAACACATGAATGAAGTTTCCTAAAAGCTTCACAGTCTTCCAGAAAGCCATGCTGGAAACAAATGCTCTTCCCCTCCCATTAAGTAGAAAAACGCATGACCTACGTTAGACATACACATACCTGGCACCAAGGCAATTGACTCCCACAGGTTATTTTCTGGGGAGGGCATGGAATGTATTTGAAGGCCTTTATTTCAAATCAGTCATTATGTAATTATGATAATTCAAACATCTTATTTTAACAGATTCAATGTTCCTACAGAAACAGTGCTTTGGAGTGACCAGTGTTAGCTGTAAATATTAAACATGACTATAATGATATAGCTACAGTACTTCCCCCCCACCCCCCATCCATCTACTAAATGAACCAACACCATCACACACAATATAGAACATCCTATAAGCCGCTTGCCTTCAGTAAGGCTGGTCATAGCAAGCCAAATGCCAATGACAGACACCAAGGTGAAGGAGGAAGGTGCAGATGAGAAAGGACAAAGGGAAGGTGTTCTAAAAATAAAAGACTTCAGTTATGCATATGATAATCCAAGCCAGAGGGGAATGTTGAAGTTGTAATACACACTGGAGTTGGATATAATACCATAGTAGATGTAAGTTTTTAAAAGATTCCTTCCTAAACCTCTTGTGCTAATTCCCTTCCTGGGAGGAACACAGACAGAAGGTTAACCTTACAATCACAAGACACACACGACCACACACAGATAAACACACATACACAACCACGTTCTTAACCCAGGAAAGTCTTAATTAAGACTAAATCCTCAATTAGGATTTACAGCACAACACCTCTCCTACTGCCTTCGGGACTGTTCCCCAGGAAGGCCACCATTTAAAAAAAACCCACACTCTCTCTAAGTGGGGACTGAAGGACAACTCAAAACAAATAAAATAATAAAACACACTAGCTGCTCCTATTTCATTCCACTGCTTTGAAATCTTAGAACCACAGATGTGATAGCCCACAGATAGGGCCAGACTTGATTGTGAAGTCTCCAAAGGAACCTCTCTGCCCTTCAGGTGCTACTTGAGTAAGAGCTCCCAGCTCATTGGTCCTCTAAAGCTGCAGCAGGGAGATGATGTGCTAGGTGGCCACATGGGCAGGAGAAGAAACAGAAACGAATTCTCGGAGGATATTTTTGGCCATTTCAATGTTGTTGTGGGCAATGACCAAAGCTTTCTGAATGTCCTGGTAGGAGTATCCCTGACTCATGAGGTTCTCAATCTCGCTGGAGAGCTGAGGAGAGGGCGTGGCGGCAGAAACAGGAGCAGGAGCAGGAGCAGGAGCAGGAGCAGGAGCAGGAGCAGGAGCAGGAGCAGGAGCAGGAGCACCACCTTGCTGACAGCTACTGGCTTTTCGTTCAGAATTGATTCTCCGAGGGTACGGCTTGGGAGGCCTCTCAGGAACTTGGGAACCCTCAGTGAAGTCTAGAAGACATAGGAAAGAAAATATTGCAAATGTTGGGGGGAAATCCTCATTTAATGGCAGTAATAACAATATAATATCAAGATACTACTGACCTACTGTCGATTAGGTACATATGCTCTTAAGTCAAAAGGCTGGCTGGGTTTTACAGGTTCAAGGAGTATATAGTATATACATATATAGCCTCCTCCTTCTCACAGCAGAAGCAACCCTCTAAATATACCACGCACCTGTTCTATTAACAATAACCATTACTGTCATAAGCATAGAACATCTGCATTTACATTGTGTTTTACACTTAGCAACAAGTTTTCATATACACTACTGCCTGGATTATTTTTTTTAAATGTCTGAGGGGGCCAGAGAAGATACTAAACTCCTTTTACAAATAAGGAAACGGAAATAAGCCTAATCTACAGTGAAGAAGCATTTAAACAAGGCTGGGTGGGTGGGGATCACTGCTTGTTTGGGCAACTGGACGCTGTGTATCTTTTTCACCAGCTGTCCTGAAGGCTATCTTCGATTTCCAAGTGACAGAAATTCTGGCTGCTAAGCTACCAGGCAGACACAGGTGCAAGAAAAGCAGCACTTGATAGTCGAGGCCCACATATGGGCTGGCTCCAGGCCATTCAGTGTGCTTCCCAGAGACAGCACACCTCTTTTCCAGTGAGATGGGGCCCGGAAGTCAGGAATGTGTGGTCTGAACTGTTAAGCTTAATAACCACTGTCTTAATGTGCACTCAGAAGAGTCAGAGGTCCTGCTTACCCCCAGCACAGGAGGAGCCATGGTTTAAGGTGCAATCTCATTTCTAAGTCTGGCAAAATCCTACAGCATCTGACTACAATTTATCTCCCTAATTTGGGGCCCAGGACCTGCTTTCCTCTCATTTAGACATACTTTTTAGTCTACTACTTCCAGCTACTGACTTATTGTCACCAAGCAATCAGTCATCTCTATTTCAGTAGAAGCCATACAGCAATTCAGTACAAGCCCAATGTAGCCTGGAGACTCACTTGTTGTGGGATCACCTTCCAGAGACAACCAGCCAAAGGAGGAGCTGGCATTAGAGATATCTGACAGAGTTCGGCGGGCAAGCACTGCTGGCACAGGTGGCTTAGGAACATCATACCCATCATCATCATTTTCTGATTCCTCAGGGCCAGTGCTGGCATGGTCTGCAACCAAATTCCCTTCACCTAGAGAAAAGTTTGTGCAGTTATCTTCTTTTTTACATACTTCACCTTCTAACACATTTCAACATAGGGTTATCCATCCATTCATTCATGCATGCATGTATGCATCCATGCCCAGAGTCAAAGAGTTACCAAATGTCTACTATGGGCCAAACACCATGTGAGGTAGAGATAAATATACCCAAACACCCCATATGGCTGGAGATCAAAGAAACAGAAAATAAAATCTGCACTAATCCTGCAGCTCTACCTTTCTGAACATGTCAAAAGCTCCCTTGCCAAGGTTAATAGCCACTTATACAAAAGACTCAAGTGCCACTTTATGGCATTCACTCAACATTTCTATCTGCATGTCACCTTGGAAGGTCAGCCAACGGGCCCTATGTATGCTGCCTTCTTAAACTCTCTACTTGGTAAACTAGTTAATATGGGAATTGAGTATTCATCACCCTCACAGAAAAGAATTTCATCAATGCAAAAAGCAATGGGAATAAGATGGAGCTGCCAGCATTGCAGTTCCAGGTCATATAACACAAATGTTTCCAGGCCCAGAAAGGATGAAAAAGCACAAAGGAACTAGCTGTATGAATAGGAAATAAAAGAGAAGAGGTAGTTTTACTGCCCATGGATCAAAGATATTTTGCAAACAAAATTATTTAAAAGAATTTCCTGCTTAGATTAAGCTACCTCATTACCCAAATATTACAGGCTCATTCCTACGGCAAATCAACAATTTTTAAAGTAGCAGAAAAGCTACTCACCAAAGGTGCTGCTCTCTGTCACAGATGGCACTGCCTGGGATTGAATATTATACATTGCTTCATATGTACAGCTATCAATCTGCTGGTCACAATCACACACTCTGACCCGAAAGGAAAATGGCACAATGACTTTTTGAAACAGAACTCTGTTATCTGCAAACTTATTAAGATTCATCTATCCACAACTACTCTAGACCCTGATTCTATCAAGATAACATTCCCCTTTTACCAGTTATCGCTAAGTAATGTTGTAAGACTGACTCTTATGATGATTAACAGATATGTGTTTTTGAGATTACTGTGATGTTCAGGAAACATAATTGGAATTGCTTACAGCTTTAAGAACCTTCAATAGTAGGAGCTAGATATATCTCTCTGCTTTAATTCTGGCTGGATAACAATATGTGAAGGTAGCAAGCCAAGTAGATAAGTGGTGTCAACTGAATTCCAAAACAGGATTGTTGCAAACTTACCGTGAACTCTGAGTTATCTCCAAAGGCCATTTTGCATCTGGCTTTTGAAGCCCTAGAGGCCTAGAGGAGGGAGTCATATACTCTGTGTTCCTCGTGTGCTCACACTGCTCCACAGGAGGCAGCTTTGGCAAAGAGGTCTGGAAGATGAAGAATAAAAACCAAAAAAAGAAAACAAAAATTAACAAGCTGAAAAACATTAAAATATGAAATAAGTGGCTTCAAAACAGATCATAACTCAAATTTGACATGGCAAAATGGATGCCACCTAGAAATCTATTATTACTCCTGGCTAAGACAGGTACTTATTAAAAACACACTAACTTAAATTTTCACTTTTAGTTGACCAAAGGTGTGGCTATCATGTTTGAGATTGTGTTACACTGGGATAATACTTCATACCGTTTAGACTCTGTCCCTAAATAAGTTAGAGTCCCAGTCCAAGAGCTAGTATGCCAGTTTTCCTTTAACTAGGCATGAATAAGAAACAGCAAGTGGTTTTCTGACAATATGCTAAGAATGTATACAAATATCAATTTAAAAATCTACCTATGGTTTCAAAGAATATACAGCTTGTTAAAAGCTTTCTCATATGTTATCTGATAGTATAAATGTATTTTCTCATTTTATACAAGAAAAATATGAATAAAAGAGATAAGGTGCCTTGGTAGTTTGCATCATCTGGGACTAGATCCCACATCTTCTGACCCTGGCTTCAGGGATCTTGCCATTGATACTCATATATAACTCTCACCTAGAAGTTTTTTAAACAAATCCTCTCCTACCACCCCACCCTCTGAAACTAGACAAAGAAAAAACAAAATAAAATTAAGACAAAATCCCCATTCAATTATATAAGAAACATACATGTGCTTACAACACTGACTCTGGGAATATGAGTTAATGAGTGTTTCTCCTCCCTTCCTCTTTATGCTTTTGCACATTCTAATCTGTAAGAAACACCTATTAGATCTGCCTATCTGTGTTTACTTGATGTTTATTTTTACTAATTACTAAAGCAAAAGCTGCTTATTACAAAATACTTAAATGCTACAAAAACTTAACAGATGACAGTCCCTATAATCTATCTCACTTGAGATTTTTTTCTTATGTCTACATGTTACCTTTATTATTTGTGCATTGCATGCTGAAGTTCTGAGGCTGAAGTGTACAGCTATCTACACTATGTCTTGAAAATGTGTCTTACTTTATTTATTGTAAGAAAGGCTGATGGATCTCTTATCATCTCTTATCAACCTTTCTTAGGATAATGATAGACAGAAGTGTAGATAAAACAAGTATAATAAAATAGTAACAGTAGAATCCAGGTGGTGAGTATACTAATGTTCACTGTAAAAAATCTTTCACCTTTACTCTATGTTTGAAACTTTTCATAATAAAATGCTGGGGGAGAAATGATCCATAAAGATTAACAAAAAATACCAAGTACTAGTGAAAATGTGGGGAAAATGGGTACTTTCTTAAACAGTTTTAGAAATAAGAAATTGGTATAACTTTTCTGGAGTGTAATTCAGCAAAAGTACTTAACCAAACATACAACATGCAAACCCTTGTACTCAGAAATTCCATTTCTAAGAATTTCCCCTGGGGAAATAATCAAGAATATTCACTATAGCATTATTTATAATATTCAAAAAATAGGCAACCTGTCAAGTAATCGTGTATTGATTAAATTTTGAACTATTCATACAGCAATATACCTGAAGTCAACTGTGTCCCTCAGTGCTTTAGAGGTTCCAAAAGCAGGGGCCTCAGAGGGCTACTTCTGTTTCTACCTCAGGTCTTATCTATTTCACATATTGAGGTTACAACTTAAGTCAATTCCACTGCTTTGCATCAATAAAAATAATTTGAAAATCATTGTAGTAGAAGAATATAATGATACCCTAAGAATGTTCAAGATATTCCTGGGGAAAAACAGCATATAAAATATGATTTCATACACAGAGAAATGGCAATGAACGAACACACATCACATTGCTAACTATTATCTGACTCTAGGTGGTAAGGTTATGGATAACTTCTATTTCTTCTATTTGATCCCCCCTTTCTCTCCTCCCATGCCCAGCATCATTTACCTGTATTTTCTAAAAATTCTCTAACACATTACTTTGACAAAAAGGGTCATTAAAAGGGCAATCAAAAAGCTTTAATTATAATTTTTTGTTGATGTTAAAAAATATATAAAATTGTGCCTTTTCATTAAGCATTTTGGTAATACATACTTTAAAAAATTCACATGCTTTCATCGCAATAATTCTACTTTGGATCTCTGATTATGTGCAAAGATGTTCACTGAAGCAAATTTATTAGAAATAAAAGCTTTTAAACAAAATAAATATCCAACAACAGGGGAATGATTAAGTATGTGGTTATAATCACATATAATAATATGTAATCACTAAAAGTAAGGATTTTGACCTCCCCTTTTTCTCTCCCTCCCTTGCCCTTGCCCTTCCCCTTCTTTGGTGCTTTCCCCCAGGGGTGGGGTAGGGGGAGATTCTGAAGAACTTTTTAAATGATAAGGAGAAATGCTCAAGATAATAATGATAAGTTTTAAAAGAGAGAGACTACAAAACTATATCTTGATTTAATATATATATATTTTACATGTTTAGAGCTATGGGCAAGTAGCAAGCATCATCTAACCATCTGCCTAGAATAGCTAGCTAGAAATTTAAGCAGGATAAAATACAAAAGAAAGGCATTGGTGAGCCACTAGACAGCCACGACTAAAGAGGCCGAGATTCCAGAGAGAATACACCAAGGTAAGACTCATATTAGTGGTTCTAAACTTGGGGTTTCAAAGTAGTTTCAATAGGCTGGGGAAAGAAGGGCTAGAATTTTGGGGTACCAAGATGGACAATCTGTGAGGGACCAAAAATCCTGAAAAAAGGAATAGCAGAGAATTCTGCCTGCAATTTTCCCTAGTTATTACTAATCCCTAAACTGTGTATACATGGGGTTAGAGTCTGAGAAACCAAGCAGAAAACAACAGTTGAGGTGGTAAATAGATATTTTGGTTGTCTTGCCAAACTGGAGAGACAAATGCTGAAATTAACAAAATATGCCCTTTACAATATAATTGTAATTTATATGTTCAATAAAAAGGAGGATAGAGAATTTTATTAGAAAACTATAATGAATAAATTTTTTAAAATCACAGAAATTCTAGAACATAAAAACACGGTATCTGAAAATACAAATTCAAAAGATAGATTTAGGGCAGATGAGAAACCACAAAAGAGAAGATTAGGGAATTGGAACATAGCAGAAATGATTCATATTAAAGAGAAGAAAAAGAATGGAAAACACATGAGTATAACAGCTATGTTAGGGATGCTGAAAGGTTGAACATTCAGATAACTGGAGTCACAGTAGGAGAGGAGAAAGAGAATGCATTATTCAGTCTATTTTAAGAAACAGTGGCCTAGAATTTTCTAAAACTGATTACAAACATCAAACTACAAAATTAATAAATTCTACATATCTTAAGAAGAATAAATATAAAGAAAACTACATAGGAGGATTATAGTAAAACTGCTGGGATGCAAAGACAAAGAGGTCTCATAAGTACCCAGAAAAGAAATAATACCTTTAAAAGAGCAAATTTAAGCCTGAGAGCTAATTTTTCAACAGAAACAATGGAAGCAGGAAGGCAGCAGAATATTTTTCAAATGCTAAAAGAAAATAACTCCCGTTCAAAATATTACACTCAGTGAAAATATCTTTAAAAATATATATATATATATAGAAAAATATATATATTTTCCATCAAATAGAAGGTACTTTTTGTCAAAACCTGGGAGAGTCCATTGATAGAAAAGACACACCCACACTCACATCCATACACTCACACTCTGTCTCTATCTCTCTAAAGGAAGTTCTTTGGGCAGAAGGTAAAAGATTCCAGATGGAAGCATGGCAAAGCCATAAGAAACGAGGAGTACTACAGGATAAATAGGTGGGGGGATTTAAATGTCCAAGAAGTGTTAAGAAGCACTGATCTGAAGTAGACTCTAATGAGTCAAGGGTGCATGATCCCCAGGACAACTATTAAAAGAATAACAGAAGGGGTGAAACAGTATAATAAAAATAATTTAAAAGAAAGCAAGAAAGTAAAAAAAATGTACAAATCAAAGATGGATAATAGAGTAGAAAAAATATTCAAACTATAAGATAAAGAATGCTAAACTGGATTTAAGGGCAAAAGTATATACTGCTTATGAGAAACATACCTAAAACATAAGAACACAGAAAAATTGAAAGTAAAAAGATGGTAAAATATCATGCAAATACTAAAAGAGAGCTGATGTAGCCATTTTCATATAAGACAAAGCAGACTTAAAGGAAAGTAGTGGATAATAAAAAAATTATCATTTAGTATCAATTCTAAAATTCTATCTACCCTAACTACATAAGATACATATACAATACAAGTGGATAAAATAAAAGGGAAAAAGGGACCCACAATTATAAGGGGGAGAATTTAATACACTCCTCTTATTATCTGATAGAACGTGTAGGCTAAAAAAATCAGGAGGGAGATAGAAGATTTGAACACGATTAACGAACTTGCCCTCATCAACATATACAGAATGCTATGCCCAACAACTGCAAATTGCACGTTCTTATATTTAAAAGTGGCAGATATTACTGGAATTTATCATAAACTAGTCAATAAAGAAGGTCTCCAAATGTTACAAGTTAAAATAACAGAGTATGGTTTTCTGACCACACTGGAATGAAACTAGAAAGCTTCATTAACAGGACAACTAGAAAATTTTCCAATGTTTGAAAATCGGGCAATACATAAATAACAGATGAATCAAACAAGAAATCACAAATAGCAAAAGCATATATTTTTACATGAATAATAATGAAAATAAGACATATCCAAATTTGTAGAATGCAGCTAAAGCATTTGTTATAGACCAAAGGTCTGTGTCCTCCAAAATTCATAAGTTGAAGCCCTAATCCTCATTGTATTTGGAGATGGGGCCTCTGAGGAAGTAATTAAGATTGGATGGGGTCATAAGGGTGGGGCACTAAAATAGGATTGGTGTTCTTATAAGAAGAGACACCAGAGAGCTTGCTAATGTTCTCTATATCTCATCCCTTGTACACATACCAAGGTAAAGCCATGTGAAGACGTAGCGAGAAGGCTATGCAAGCCTACAAGCCAGGAAGACTCCACACCATAAGAAACCGACTGTGCTAACACGCTGATCTTAGATCATTCTTCTCAAGTGCACGTGGGACAGTTTCCAGATAGACAATATGTTAGGCCATAATTTAAGTCTCAACAGATTTTAAAAGACAGATATCATACAAAGTATCTTTTCTGCCCATAACAGGATGAAGTTAGATATCAATAACAAAAATAAAACTGAAAACTCACAAAATTGTGGAAATTAAACAATACATTTTTAAACAATCAACTGATTGAAGAAGAAATTACAAGGGAAATTATAAAATACTTGGAGGCAAGTGAAAACAAAAACACAACATACCGAAACTTAGCAAAAGTAGTGGTGAGGGGGAAATTTATAGCTCTAAACGCTTACAATAAGAAAATAGGAAAAATCTCAAATCAACAAGCTTAACTTTACAACTTAAGAAACTGGAAAAAGAATCAACTAAACCCAAAGCTAGCAGAAGGAAAGAAATAGTAAAGATCAGAGCAGAGATAAATGAGAGAATAGAAAAACATTAGAGAAAAAAAAAATCAATGAAACCAAAAGTTGGTTCTTTGAAAAGATCAACAAAACTGACAAAGTTTATCTAAATGGACTAAGAAAAAAGAGAGAAGACTCAAATTAATAAAATCAGAAATGAAGGTGGGACGTTACTTCCAATTCTACAGAAATAAAGAGAATTATAAGTGAGTACTATGAACAGTTGTAAGCCAAAAAACTGGACAACCTAGATGAAATGAGCAAATTTCTACAAACACAAAATTTACCAAGGCTACATCACAAAGAAATAGAAAATCTGAATAGACCTATAACTAGTAAGGTTGAATCAGTAAACAAAATCTCCCAATAAAGCCCTGTTCTTGATGGCTTTCTGGTAAACTCTACCAGAAATTTAATAAAGAACTAATATCAACCCTTCTAAAACTTCCCCCCAAAGTTGAAGAGGGAACTCTTTCTCATTCAATGATGCTAGCATAATCATGATAAAGTCAGACAAAGATACAAGAAAACTACAGACCACTATCCCTTATGAATATAAACTGATGCAAAAGTCTCCAACAAAATACCAGCAAAAAGAATTCAGCAGTATATTAAAAGGATTATACCCAATGACCAAGTGAGTTTATACCTGGAATGTTGTGATTGTTCAACATATGAAAACTGATCAATATAATCAAGAAAATGAAGGAAAAAAATTCACACAATCATCCTGATGCAGAAAAAGCATTTAACAAAATTTAACACCATTTCATGATAAAAACATTCAACAAAATAGAAACAGAAAGTATCTCTACATAATAAAAGCCATATATGAAAAACTCACAGCAAGCATCATATTCAAAAGCATAGGTAGCAAAAGAAAAAACAGACAAATTGGACTCTGTGAAAGTTTAAAAATTTTATGCATCAAGACACTATCCAGAATAAAATGGCAACCTATAGAATGGGAGAAAATATTTGCGAATCATATATCTGATACAGGATTAACATCCAGAATATGTAGCAAACTTCTAAAATTCAACACAAACAACCTTATTAAAAAATAGGCAAAGGCCTTAAATAGACATTTCCCCAAAGAAAATATATGAATGACCAATAAGCACATGAAAAGATGCTCAACATCACTAATCATTAGGGAAATGCAAATCAAAACTACAATGAGATACCGCCTCACACTATTAGTATGGCTACTATAAAAAAAAAGAAACCAGAAAATAACAAGTATTGGTAAAAAAAATTGGGGGAAACTGGAACCCTGGTATACCATTGGTGGAGATGTAAAATGGTACAGCTGCTATGAAAAACAGTATGGTGGTGCCATATGACCCAGCAATTCAGCCTTTGAGTATATACACAAAATAATTGAAAGTTGGATGTCAAAGAGATATTGCTCACCCATGTTCATAGAAGCATCATTTACAATAGCTAAAACATAGAAGCAACCCAAGTTTCCATCAACTAAAAAATGGATAGGCAAAATGTCACATATACATGCAACGGAACATTATTTGGCCTTTAAAAGGAAGGAAGTTTTGCAATGTGTTACGACATGACAAATCTTGAAGACATTATGCTAAGTGAAATAAGCCAGTCACAAAAAGACAAATACTACGTGATTCCACTTACATTAACTATTTATAGTAGTCAAAAATCACAAAGACAGAAAGTATAATAGTGGCTATCAGGAGCTGGGGGAAGGGGAAAATGGAAAATTACTGTTTAATAGGTAAAGAGTTTCACAAAATGAAGAGTTAGGAGATGGATAGTGGTAATGATTGTACAATATGAATGTATTTAATACCATTAAACCATACACTTATAAATGGGTAAGAAGGTAACTTTTATGTTATGTGTATTTTACCACAAAAAAAGGAGATACTTAAGAATTAAAACAAAAATTATAAGAATTAAAAATCTTTTTTAAAAAAAATCAGCAAAACCAAAATTGCTTCTTTGAAAAGATTAATAAAGTTGATGAACCCCAGAAAGACTGATCTATGTACATGTACACAAAGAATGTAAAGACACAGTCCAAAACATAAAACAGGATACTTTTTACATGATGCAAATACAGATCAAGTTTTATTTTCTTCTTCATATTCCTCTGGGTTTTCTCAATTTTCTATAAGAACCAACTCCACTGTATGAAATACAGCTTTAGTAAACTTACCTGGCAGCTAGAGAATAAATGGCACTGGCAGATGCAGAAGGTTTGATTTTGGAGTGCTCACACTCTGGACCTGGCAATGGACTGCTATTCATATTCTGGAAAGAAAAGTGTTGAAAAAGGACCTTCTTAACACAGCTACATGTCTCTTATTTAACCTATTCAAAATAATAAGGACAATAATAAAGACACAGACCTCATTCTCAACGCCATGCTCGGGGGTTATTACACCTGACAAAAGCATAGCTCCTTTCAGGCTTTGAAGAAAGCTCAAATGTAAGGGTTAAGGAGATAGAGATCTAAAAAGAGCCAAGGAAATGGAGTTTTGTTTTGTTAATTCTAGAAAGATTTGAAGAACCTGGCTAAAAAAGTACCATTTCTAGTTTAAAAATCTGTACATCTTTCTACATTGATGCCATCAGAAAGTCAAATCTAATCCATAATTAGACTGCTTATCAAATAGATACTACTTAAATCTAAGTTACCCCTGTCCCTTTCCTTGCAACCAAGAAATATGCAGTTTATTCCTTCACCCTTCTAATTTCATCTTTTCCAACTACCTACTGGCCAACTCTTCAACAGCTTGTCTCAAATGCAACATGTCCCTAGTTAAGCAAGGTCAAAACCTCAGGGGGTGTGTGTGTGTGACTTCTTGTCCTTTTTCCAACCCACAGACTGCTTTCAAGCCTTATTTTTATTTTTGTTTCCCATCATCTAAAGACTACCCAATCTGGCTGCTCCCATCTGCTCACAGACAACTATTCTTCCTCTTGCTTAGTTGGCACCAACTATAATAAACCCCTTTGTTATTCCTCAAATAGACTCTCCCAAACTCACTTGCTTTTCCCTTCATCCTGGAACGGTCTTCCCCCAGAATTAACACAGCTCACTCTCCCCATCGCTCCAGGTCTTTCCTCAGAATTGTGCCCCATTCCTCCATGTACCCCCACCCCAACCTCAGCTGTCCCAATATCCCTTTTTTTGTGATACTTTTCTCCATAGCGCTCACCAGCTAAGACATCCTGTATGTCTTATTAACTTATCTTGTTTATTTTCTGTCTTTCCTGCACTAGAATGTAAAGTTTATGAGAGCAAGAGTTTTTGTTGAGTGCATAAATGAACCAACAAAAAAATGAATACACATTATCCCACTCCCAGTTCTGAACTCCTTATCTCATGCTTATACGATGGACCCCTAATCTGTCTTTTTTCGATCTATTCTCTTATCAATCCCTTTTGCATACGACTATTAGATTCATCTCTTTAAACCATCATTTTGGTCATGTCACTCCATTAATTTAAAACCTTCAAATAAATACTCATTTCCTACTAAAAAAATCCGAATTCTTTTGGGATGGAGTATTCAAAGCCCTGTAATCTAGTACTAATGCTCTTTCTAGGCCTTTTTCCTACTCTGACATTCAAAATTTCTGCTCCACTCAAAAAACTAATTTTTGTTCCACTATACACTTTAAGCATTTCTGTCATTGCAG